GCAGTCCATTCACGAGCAGCGAGGTGCCATTCTGGACTGAAGTAATCACTGCATTGCGCATTGGCAGGGATACAGTAATATGGCCGATTCCTTGAGACACAAGTCGCCAAGACTCAATATGCTCCATTTTGCCCCACGGTATACTCGGTATCCATAAATTCATTTCTTATACTGTCGTCATTGCTTCTGACTAGAAAATTGAATAGAAACTCTCAATTGCTTCGAATAATAGTAGATTTTTCTTTCCCTCTTTTCATTGCCACGTTATGATGGATGAGCACCATCTCCGAATCCTTAGTAATAGTAGTAGTAGTAGTAGTTGTAGTTGTAGTATATTGATGATGTATCATCGGGATCAACAAAGAACTGGTGAGGCGAAAAATTTGCAGGTTTTTCATTGATTTCAGCCCTTTGCAATTTGACGATGAAAGTGATTTGGGTGATTGATATCGCCTTGTCGGCGATGGGTCCCAAACCACAAGCTTCGATCTTTCCCCATTCCCAATTTCGAATTCACACGGGGGAAAAAAGTGAACTAAAACGTAAAGGAAGGGAATCGGGGATTGATTCATTCGATGGGAGTCAAAGCTGGCGTATGCTGAATGTATCAGCAAATCCAAGCTACTTGAGACGAGCGGTAAACTTACATCATGGCGGCTCGCATCCTGCACTCATCATCATGTTTTCAGTCTGGTCTTATTGTCATTCATTCATTATCTATGATGAGATGGTGAAGGTTGATGGTTGATGGTGTTTGGAATTTTGGAATTTTGGACGCAGCAAATGGAAATTCCAAATTCCAGAAATGTCGAGCCGGACAACTCCAAAACTTGCCAACCGTTGGCTATTTCCGCAAACACCAATTGTCGCTGCGATAAATACTGGCCCATGTTTTAGCGACGATTTTTTTATGAGTTGAACACCATCACTGCACTGTGGTCTTGTGTAGCAAAGCCAAGGTTTGTGCAACCAAATCATTAAAAGAACAAGACAAGAATCGCGGATAAGAAAGCAACAAGAGCATTACTATTCTACTCACAAGTGTACAATGAAGAGTCAAATAATATTCGCAGCGCTCCTTGCTGCCGCGGCTGTCGCAACTGAAGCGACGAATGACGAAAACACCGCTAAAGTCGAGGACACTCACAAGGTTCAACGGGAGCTAAGACCCGTTCGAATTTATGACAATCCTACGACAGAAGGATCCTGGGGCCACTGTGAAGGAGATTGTGACGTTGATGATGATTGCTACCATAATCTAATTTGCTTTCAGCGCCAAGAAAATGAAGCAACTCCTGTTCCAGGATGCAAGGGTGGGGACGAAGACTTTTCGGCAAACGACTATTGTGTATTCCCTGGTGACATTCCATTGTCTGGCAATCTGTTCGAGCAGCACACTGGGGATAACCTCAACGATGAGCCAGTAGATGATCTATCGCAGCCCACTGGTCAAACAACGATTTTGTCGGCGGAAAACCCTGAAAATGAGACGGCAACTGATCCTCCGCTCAGTTTAGTGGGGCAGAGTGGTGTGTCATCACTGAGCCAGCAGTTCATATCGATGACTTTGATGTCTCTGGTTTCGGCGGCCGTCTTGACCATCCAAGCTTAGTAGACTTGAGTGCTGTCATCATTGTTACAGCACCTCGTCTTGACACTCATTGAGAGTCGCGCCTGCTACAATTAGAGGTAACAGCTAGCAGCGCTCCAATGTTGTGCCATACGAGGTGCAAGTACTGCACGGTGGTATCTTTGAATATACCAGACATCTTCGAGGGGAACAATCATAATTCTATGTTAGTACGCGTTATGCATTATCAATATGGCACAGCCCAGTTATAATTCAGAAACATTGTTATCAATCTCAAAATATCTAGCTAGGCTACATTGGGTGTTTTGTATATATCGAAGCGACAACTTGTTGCATTTGGGGTTTGAAATCTGGGCTCATTCTGCAGATTTGATGTACAGTAATAGGATGTGCCTCCTGCTTTTTCAGACCGTGCTCTCTCACTAGTTATTTTGGCCCAAACATCTGCCAGGTAGCTTTGTCGCGTAGAAAAGTGGCACAAAAGTTTCTTTCCGAATGAATCACCATCCCACGCGACATACCGTATAAACGAAACACGAGTGGGGTATTCGGGGTATTCTCTTGTTGTTTCTATCATCAACAACACTGCAAATAATCCACGAATCATTCATTATAAGAGAGATCAGGATAGGGAAACTACAAAGGGGTGTACTGCTGGTAATCTTGGCTTTTGCTTTCGCTGAAATTTTTTCTGAATACCACCTAAAGAATCAACGGTTGACATCTCCTACTGCGATACAGTAATTGGAAGAACAACTGAGAGGAAAAGTCGTAGAATCACATTACAGAATACCTACATAAAATTATGAGGATTGGGGAACTCTCGATATGGACTCTATTTCTGGTATTATGCTTCCTTTGCGGCATACATGTGGTCGATTCAGACAATGATATATTCAGACAGCAGCAAGTTTCAAATACGGGAGAAGAAAGCATGTTTTATTATTCCATTGATGGGTCCAACAACAATCGTAATAATCCTTCCTGGGGACAGAAGGAAACACCAAGGGTCCGGTACCTACCGCAGGCGTCTCGATACTATGATGAGACAGCACCCAACACTGGAGGTGGTATTCCAGTGGATGAAACCAACTCCAATTTACCTTCGGCACGCCGCATTATGGAAGCCATCTTCTCGCAATCCACACCTCATGCTGACAAGGGGACGAATCATCTAATGTTGGAATTTGGGCACTTTATTGTGCAAGATGTCATTGGGCGTACGCTCTTGAATGAGACAGAACCCTTCCCCATGCCATGCGATGGTGAAGTAACAGATGTTGTCTTTTGTCCTGTGACTGGGCAGACTTACTCCATTCCGTTCGATCGGTCACAACATGCTACTTTTGCCAATAGAAATATTCCACGAGCATCTCTCAATGGTGAAACGGCCTTTATGGATATGAGCAACTTATACGGCAACACTCCCGAGGTACAAGAAGAGGTGCGAGAATTCGTAGGAGGACGCGTCAAGCTGGATGAAATGGGATTGCCGCCGATTCTCAACAAGTACAATTCCTCCCCTGGAGTCTTTGCAATGTACTGTGTATTTCTACGGTATCACAACATTTTGGCAGCGGAATTCCAGGAAAAAAATCCTACTCTCAAGGAGGAAGAACTATTTCAAATGGCACGTCAAAAGAATATTGCCATCTATCAATTCAATGCTGAGGAAAAGTACATACCCACGCTACTTGGATCCAAGCTGGAGCCTTATGTTGGCTACAACTCAAGCGTGGATCCAAGCATAGATGAATTCTTTGCGGCTGCCTCCTTTCGGTACGCTCACAGTAGTTTCTCTGGACTGGTTCGTTTGTTGGATGAGAATTTTGATCCCACTGGTTCGGATCCATTGATTTTGCGAGATGTCTTTCGACAGTCCTCACCCAACAATGTCCCACGGGTGGTACGGAACCATGGAGGAATCGAGCCCTTTTTGCGAGGGCTTACAGTCACCAACGCCAAGGCTGTTGATGCCAGTCTTGTTCATGATATGAACTACTTTACCGAAGCTACCAGTTTGCTGGACGTCCAACGCGGACGTGATATGGGATTACCGTCGTACAATGATGCCCGAGAAGCCTTTGGCTTGGAAAGAGTTAAAGATTTTGAAAGTTTGGTCGGGTACGACTACCAAGGGATACTTGCTCCTCTGAAGGAGCTGTATAATGATGATATCGAAAAACTCGACGCCTATGTAGGTGCTCTATTGGAAGCCAAGGATACTGGAGCCGAAATGGGACCCCTCTTTAGCCAATCCATTTTGAATCAGTTCCAGCGCATCCGTGATGGGGACCGACTGTGGTACCGCAATAATCAATACACTCAAGAGGAATGGGAACAATTTCCGTCCATGGCGGATTTGATTCGGGCAACTTGCACGGGGATGGACAATTTGCCTACTGAAAGTTTCTTAGCTTGGGATGGTGTGGCCGGCGAAGGCGCGGCAACTTGTGGAGCATCCGCGACGCAATTGTCGCTCATCAAGTACGTTGATTCTTTGTTTTGGTCTGTTATTTCGGTTATCATGGACTGTCTATCTCATTTGGTCCTCTTCTCCTTTTATCCAGTGGAAAGTACAGTCTGGGGTGGCAGATCGACGTTCCATCAGCTGCAGATCTTCGGGACCAGCCAGATATGAAAAGCACCATTGAAGTTACAATGAATTTCAACGAGCGCATGAATAATCCAGGGTTCCTGGGCGTCGGATGGCGCAGTCAACAAATGAGAGGAGCTGAAATTTGGTGGTGCACTGCCAACGCTGACATCTTTGCCACAGAAACATTTCCTGACGCCTGTGATGCGAATAGTGATAAGGTGAACTTCGAAAAGAAACTATTTTCTTGCTGTGTGGCAGATGGAGGACTGCATGTTCAACCGGTATGCTCCAGTCCTGATGCTTCCGTGTACTACGAGTTGACAATTGTTGACTGGTGTCTGACACCAGGAACGTCAAGAGTCACTGTCACAGCGCCAGTTTGTGATGATAATGAACAGTTTACCAACGGAAAAGTAAACTGTTTCCGTAAGACATCTAGTGCCAATGGGGAAATGGATTTCATTGTCGCCTACAACCCCAACAGGATTGGTAACCATGGGTATCAGATGCGTACCGCCGCGGCCGTGGATCTTTCTGTGGGTGTTTTAACACAATCCGAATCTGACACTGCAGACGTTGGACTGATTGCTACTCATGCGATATTCATGCTTTTTGGATGGATGGTGTTGGCACCGATGGCCATTTTCGTGAGTTCGAATAGTGATATTATGTGACGATGACGGACGGTCCATTATCCCTCCACTTACTCACTCGTTGTGTATACATTTCAGATTGTTCGATACATGAAAACAAAAGAGTGGCGCTTAGTGGCTCATGTTTCGTTAATGGGTATTGTTGGTAGTATGATGGTCCCCTTGCTCATTGGAGTCGAGGCGTCGGTTGGGGCAACTGACAAGACAGAAGAACACAGTTTTGTCGGTTTGAGTCTTCTCGGAGTTTACTTTGTCATGGTATTTGCTGGAAGGGTCCGATATCTCAAGCTACAAGGTAAAAAAGTTGGCCGCAAGACTTACTTCTTCTCAGCAATTTTGCACAAATATGGTGGTGTTGTGATGGTGCTCTTGGCATGGTAGGTTTGCTGTTAGCAATACGTATCTCATCTCCTAGAACGGAACAACTACTCACCGCAACTCTATCCCGATCCCGCAGGTGGAACTGTTACACTGGCCTCGTTAGAATTGGTCCTGAAGATTCCTATTTCCAAGTTCTTTTATTAAGGTAAGTATAAATGTATAGCTCGTTTCATGTATCAGTAAAACTGGAAATCTCACACATCGTCTTTTGCAGTACATATAGTATGGGCTACGACCTTGATATTTTTGGCTCCATCCGGAAGTATATCTACTTTCCATACCTTGCTGTGGTCTGTCTCGCTTTTATTTTTGCGGAAGCACAGCGCTATCGACTGAACAGTTCTTCTCACGTATCAAAGTTGCAAGGTATTCTCGAAGGAAAAAACACAATATGGGAAGATGACGCCGACAAGTTCCTGGAAAAGATGACGATGGATGCCTTCATGGAGGCGACGAAGCTCGGGACTATGCTCTGCATTGTCGACGGGTATGTTCTCGACATAACATCCTTTGTTGAAAGTCACCCTGGCGGCCAACACTTACTACGTTATGCTGCCGGTTCTGATATCACGGAAGAATTTGTTGGCAAGAGAGATGTCGATGGATTGCGAAATGTTCATAGTCATAGCGCAGTCGAATTGATGAAGACTTTTGTCAAAGCCGTCCTCGTTGACGAGAACAACCAGAAGCTATCGTTCCAGAAGGGAGCAAGTTCAAGAATGGCTCTGTCAAAATCTAAGAACGGAAAGGGCTTCGGACGAATGTCTTTGATGGAAACAATCGCACGTGTCCCGCAAACTCGTCGGGGCGCGTCGGTCTTCCGACGAGGAAGAGTGGTCGGACTGAGGTATCTGACTCCCGAGATCGAAATCACGCACACTTCGAAGCCTGCAATCCTTCTGCAGTTGGCACTACCAAAAACGAGAAAAGATCTCCATGTGCAAAAGTTGATCTCCCTTCCAAGTTGTGCATTCACTTTCCGTGGAATTGACAAGTATAATTCTGCTGTCGATCGACAGTATACTCCAGTGAAAATCCACAACGACTTTGCTAGCAGAACCAAGGATGATACTGACGAAGATATATTTGACTTTGTGATCAGTTTGGTACCTGGTGGCAAGATGACGAAAATTTTCCTCGATCTGAGAGTTGGCAAAGTACTTCTGGCCAAGGGGCCCACTGTGAATCAAGAAACGGTTGCAACATTTCGGACTGGAGAATGGAGATCGGTCGTAATGGTCGCAGCTGGAACCGGAGTTTCTCCCATGCTTCAGGTCATAGATTATTACATCGGGAAATTGAGCTCAGAGTTCAAGGGGCTGGAATCAGTATTGGATGCTGAAGTTCCCAATCTATATTTGATGTGGATTGTCAAGAGCCCAAAGTACAATTACGCCGAGACGCTTGCACTCGACTCGAGGGTGGCCCGGTCGAACGGCAAATTCAAGTACACGGTGATATATTCCACATCACATGGAAAGGAGTCGATAGAAAAACCTCGTCATCAGCTGCACCACCAGTGGACCTTCAAGGAGGTCGTCGACAAGACGACACCCAGAAGAATTGGTTTGCCGGGCTTCAAGAAACCACAGAAAGTGAAGCGCGCTGTGGTTGACGCTGCATGGAAGTCAAAGAAGAACCTCTCAAAAAAAACTGATCTTTCTTCTCTTGCTGCACCTACCAACAAAACTATTCGGTCAAGCGAGTCGTCTTCCGATGAATTCAGTATCGAAAATGAAATTACAACGGCAACGTGGAGAGACGACAAGGTGCAAACGTGCTATCGGTCATACAATAGGATGCTTCTTGAGGAGTTGCTCCTCTCCATCCCTGAAACGGATGGATCCTTCCGGACATCATCGAACCCAACGATGGGCCGGATTTCTCTGCCGTCGATAATTGAAGAGGGGTCGGAAGAAGATGAGAGTAGCGATGACGATCATAGCAGTTCATACGATCAAGACGACAGGAACTCAGTCGACAGAGACAGTTCGTATGGATCGTACAGTTCGTACGATGAAGGCAGCAGGAGTTCGAAAGGCGACAGCAGCTCGTTCAAAGATTCATTCAAGGACGAAGGCTCCATTTCGCAAGAGAGCCGTTCAGAGTCTTCCTCGTCGTCGTCGTCTGGTCTCAGATCTGGTTTGAAATTTATTCCTTCGTTAAGCTCGGACAAAGGCTCGCATGGAACCCATGAAAGCGCGAAGAGCCCTGATAATTGTTCGTTGGACGAGAAAGAAGAATCAAGCTCGCATGGTACCCGTGAAACCCCGAAGAACCCTGATAACGGTTCGTTGGACGAGAAAGAAGAATCAGGAACAGTTGCCACTGAGAGAAGTGGAAGCAGTCCCGAAAGCAACCAACAGGCAGATTTAGAATCGAACCTTTTGACTTCCTGGGTTCCGTCAAGACCCCTGGATCGATCATCTTGGATGCCTCCTACCGGTCTTGATGCAGCCAAGAATGCTTCGTACGACAGCGACTATGTATCTTTTGATCATAATCAGCTGAAGAGAGGATTCTCGACAGCCAATAGTGGATCAGCAATACTCCGAAGTCCTACTTCGAAAACAAACCAAAGAAATCTCATTCCACCACGACTTGGTGGTCCTCCACTTGAACATGAGCCTTTTCACAAAGTACCGCCAAGACTCGGAAGTCCTCCACCGGAAAAAGAGCCCTCGCGTTCCATACCGCCGTTAGTTCCTAAGAGCATTGCAGCGCCTTCGACAGAGCAGTCATCATCACAACCGAAAGCTTCCGAGCCGCCTCCGAAAAGTAGCGCAGTACCATTCGCAAGAAATATTCCAGTCGTACAAAATAAGCCTCCTAAAAGAAACCAACCGGCGAGGGTGCCTTCTCTTGAGAATACGCCGCAGAGTCCAAAGAAGGATGCTGTAGACGAAGACCACAAAGAGAGATCATCCCTTGAAGAGAGAACACCAAGCAAGAATCTAGAGACTGCACATTCTGACAGTCGACGAGAAACCCGAGAGGAAGAGTTGCTAGATCAGTGGGAGATCGACGAAGAAGAGTACAGAGATCGAAAGATCTTGGTGGCTATATCAGGAGCGCCCATGTTTGAATACAAGACCAGAATGAATCTTGGTGATTTGGGATTTCCACAAGAGAATATCGTCACCTTTCATGCTTCCGGACAACAGCTATAGATAGACCTAATACATGTACATGTACATATGTTGTTATATTGTTACATTGTTCAACTGTGTGTTGTCACACTTGTTCCACGGAAAGGTTGAGACGCTGTTCGTTCCCGAGGTTGGACACGTGGAATGAATGGAATCATCTTCACCTCTCATGGCACTGGTGGGAACTTGAATAATCCGGGTTCCTTTTAGTGCCTGACACCACGTAATTCCGGCACATCAGCCACCAAACTGGTGGCACCCGGCAAGTGAATGCATTCTGCAGTTTCGTTGATTGCCGCAATGACGAGTACGTTTCCGTCTGTCATCAGCTACATCACTCGCACCGAATTCCATACAAATGCAAAGAATTCACCTGTTACTTTGGTTCGCTTTACTAAGAACATCGCCAAAGCCGGATCCCTTAGGTAGGAATGCCGGATCCTTTAAGTAAAATTTGTACGAGAACGGAAGAAATCGGCAAATTCCGTTCGTTTTGAAAAAACACCGACCTCACGCTCACAAATGCCAAACTGAACCACGCAGGAAGGGCCACCACAAACACTTGGAAGTTCCCACTCCCCATTTTTCACGTTCACATACTCAAGCAACATTCTCATTTCTGATCCAAGAATTATTCTAATTCTCATCTCATAAAATCTTAATGACCATCAGAGACATGATCTTCACACCTTCCTCCTCAGATAGCTTTCCGCTGATCCCTGCAACCCCTATCTCATCAAACTGCGGGATAAACAATAACCTAATTATTCAGAGACCACCTTGCGAGGCCGCATCCATTGGATGGTCGGACTTTGCCATCGTTGAAAACGACTCCTTCTTTCCCAAGATGAATGCCTACCAAACTGATTCTTCATCATCAGATACCTTGGATACCTACATGGAAGATTCCTCATCTACTTCCTCACAGGACACGGACATGTCCCTCAGTTCCACTGAAATCCGATCATCCGCATCATCTTCAGCTTCCCTAAACCAGAAGAGCGTCAAGTTCTCTCCCTTCTTGGAGGTCAGAACGCATTCTATTACACTTGGGGATCACCCCTGTTGCACCATCCTTCCAGTCGGACTTGATTGGGACTATGCAGAAACTGAGAATGTGAGCTTGGAACTACATGAAATGAAGAAAGCCTACCGCGGAAAGGCACGAAAGCTGTCCTACATCGAACGCAAGCAGTTGCTACAAGAATTTGTTGATAAAGAAAGCTTGCAATCGACAATGGAACAACAACCAATGATGAAAAAAGCAGGTTCTTCCTCCCGCCAACTCAAAGCTATGGCATGAAGAACCAGGAACCTGAATCTATAGTACTATGCAACCTTCAGGGACTACCCTGCTACCATGTACAGCACAACAAAGCACTGAACAAAGATACCAAAACATTAACCAAATAGAAGATATTATACAACATTACTACACTATTTACTTCCACCTTACCAAGCAACAACAAAACCAAAACATCCTCCTTTCTCGCCTGATATTTCTCGCCTGGTACATGCAACGCCTGTAGTTTCACCCGAAACCTGTACCTGGTAATGTCCGCGTTATTCCCGCTTTTCGTTCAACGCTTTCGAAATCGTTCCTCGTAGAAATGTATAGAACTTTTACAGGGTCGTTTCGCGCGGAGTTTCTTTTTTGAAAAGTTGTGGGACTCAATGGCCTACAGACAAAGCCTTTCGGTAAAAAAATGTCTCCACGCCATGTGGGGAAGTTGAATGGAAAAACCCAAAGCGCTGCTGACATTACAAGACCCGAACCCTGGAAATTAGGACGAATGGCAATGTACAACAATCGTGTTTGCAAACAAAACAGGTGATCAATTTTCCTTTACGAATAACATTACGACTAGCACATATGCCTGAAACTTCCCATGCAGTGATCGAAGCAAGATGCAAGCAAGAGTCGATAAAAGGAACACTAGAACGTGACAATCGAAAAAGTCACTTTGGATTAATAGTCATTATGGCGAATTCATAGTATTGAGCCAGACAAACAATCGGCATGTAACAGTCATCCCGGATCTCCCGGCCATCAATCATGCATGATTTGATCCCTGCCTACTTTCTGTTACACCAATTCGTCTCCCCCTAGCTAGAGTGTCTTGGATCCAACAGTAGTTGACTGTTTACTACCCCAAACTTCGTGCCGAGTGCCGAAAGAGACCACCCATCTTGAGCATTCGCTTTCGTCTTGATCTGGGTGTAGACGTGAAATCTTCATCGTCGTCTTCCATAGTTGCGTAGCTGGAATTCTTGGCGATAAAGTTTGTGAGCTTCTTTTTTCGGGACCTTGGGGTCATGTGAACATTGTCGTCACTATTGTCATCATCATCTAGCAAGTCATCTTGAAAAGAAGAATATGACATGAGTTTGGAAAGAGAAGCCGCCCTTACTAGACGTCTTGGGGAAGCAATTGCTTTCTCGGGGCGTGGTGATTGAACCTCCGAGTACATCGTGCTCATACTTCCGGTGCGACTGGAACTCTCTACTGGCTCTTTAGACTCTCCAGTTTCAGAGCCCAAGACAGAGGATAGTAATCGCGGCTTTGATGCTCCTGGCGATTCTTGTGCCTTGTCCCAGTTTGCAGACATTTGCTTTGTGAGGTCACTCATTGATCCGTATTGTCTCTTTATCAACTGTGACCGGTCACTGGCTTTTGATGATGCGTCGTCGTCTTCTCCCTCCAAAAGATGAATCTTGCTTCTACTCCTCCTTCGTCTGGTCGTTTTTTCTTTCGACTCTCGGCCACTGTGCTTTCCTGCCTCAAGATCCGACATGGATTGCATTCGATCCATACTTGGACGCCCTCGTGGATCTGGAGCGACCACTATGGGACGCAACTCTTCCTTCAAAGACTCAAGTGGATCAGGAATATTCCGCATAGTAAAGAGGGAAATGCTTCGATTCAACTCTTCTTCCAACGCACTCAATTCTGCCATTGCTTGAGACCCCACATCATCCGAAACAACGACGCCTAGTTCCATCTCATCCACGGATACTGATCTTTTTGGGCGTTTCTTATCCTTCTTTTTGGAATCATCATCTTTTCCAATTTTCGATTGACTCTTGGATCGACTCTTGGATCTACTCTCGGATCTCGTACTGCTTTTCGACCGTGTGCTGCTCTTCGATCTGCTTGATCTTGTGCTGCCTTTCGATCTGGATGATCTGGTGCTGTTTTTCGATGTGACTGACCTGGTGCTGGTCTTCGACCTCGATCGGTTTTTTTTCGATGACTCGGTCTCCTTTTCACTAAGATCAAGCGTACTAGATGCAGCCGACTTCTTTTTGCTCTTGGAAGATTTTTCCTTTTTCTTCAACCCTGATTTGGACCCTCCGCTTTTAGTTTTCTTAGACTTATGTTTCCTTTTCGTGTTCTTTTCTTCAGATGGTTCCTTTATGTCGGCTTGTGAGCGCTGCCGATTCGAAACATCGCTCTGTGTTGGGATATCGGAAGGATTAATAATGATGGGTCTGTTGGGATCATAATCTCCCAAAGACGAGCCGCCGTCCGATATGTCATCTGAATCGCAATTTTCGGCAATGACTTCATTCCCCATATCATCCACCCAGACTTCCTCAAATTCGTCTTCGTCGTCCTCGATAATTTCCTCCTTAATATCTTCTTCAATGTATTCCACGATAGTTTCCCTTGGCGATTTGCTATCCTTCGTCGCTTCCACTTCACTCTGAGAATCTGATGCCACTTCGAAATCATCGTCCGAAGCAACCTCATATTCCTCTTCGGAATCGGAGGCTACCTCATAATCGCCTGAATCCACGGATTTGTCGAGTGATCTGCTATCCCCCAGCATTCCGTCGTGAGTTCCTGAACGAGTGAGTGATAGGAAGAGGCATTTTTCAGAATTTCGCCGATTTGCAAAAAAAAACGTGAAGAGAAACGCCGAAGTGACACTGAGATGCACCTTTTGCGCGTCGAACTGGCATAATTCCCTTGTCCATTTTATTAGATCTCCAACGAGGTGATATTAGAGTTGGAAACTGAAGCAACAGCTGATGATGTTCCAGATCTACTACACCTTACAGCTTTTCCACACCGCAGCATATTCAGCATGGAAGAAGGAATCAATCTGAAATCAATGAATAAACCAATCAAAGATAGATACCCAAGTCAGCAAGAATGTACTATAATTCTCTATAGAATGAGCATGACATATCCGCTTGCAACCACTGGGGCGATATTGGTACATGTAATAGTAAATGAAAGCATTGTTCTCTGAATCACTTACATTCCCTGACTTACACTTTCATGAGGTACCGTAGACGGGGAAAGGTGATGATGAAAACCTCCACTATTTGGTCGAACTAGTCGATTTTGCTTTGATTGATTTGATTGGACTGTTTTGTTGAACGTACGAGAGGTGTCAGTCTGCGCTCCCCGCAAATCAACACAAATCGACCGTCTGATCGATCGTCGTATCCTTTGAGACAAATATAGGGTGCCATCGAATCATCGAATCTTGTCAACCAACACAATAAAAAAGCACCATGAGTGCCACATCTGCCACATCCAAAGTTGTAACTGAAGGTGGAGCCTTGTCTCATGTCAATTTCCGAGTGCGTTGTGAAACGCTTGGTCATGGAGAAGCTGTCTATCTCGTGGAAGAAGGTGATGCCAGCATGCAAAAGGTAGGTCTCCCCAATTTTTGTTCGTGGATTCCAGTACTGACTCTGCGTAGAAACATGCATCCCTCACTTTTTTCTCTCTTCCACCCCAACGAAACATCAACCCGTTGCATGAATGAATCCAAAGATAATTCCATTGTACACAACTGCGGCAGCTTATCCTTGGTACCATACGCTTCAGCCACTTACGATTGGATTGCCTCGAAACGAGCAAGATTTGAAGAATCCAAACAATCACTACTTTCGTTATCGATATGCTGTTCATCGAGGAGGTAAATTCCATCGCTATGAAAATGAGTCAGATGCTCCGTCTCAGAAGGATGTTGGCGGAGATAGTGACACAGCAATGGATATTGGAAGCGAAGACGACGAAAAGAATGACGACCTCATAGTATACCACCAAATGCCATTGAGGCTCTTTGCTAATCGGGAATCCTATGTGGTAAATGATGTTTTGGGAAAAACCACTGGTCCTCCGGATATTGATCACATTCGGCTGGAAACACATACTTCAGAAGGACGGACATCTTCTATTGCAAGTATGCACTCTAGGAATGCTTCCTTTGGACAAAGCACATCCTTTACTGGTATCAGTAACAAGGGAAGCACGTCAACATTGAAACCGGCATCGTCCGCCCGTAAAAAGGCAGTGGGATTTGCCCCTCCACCTCCACCATATCACCGTCCAAAGGCAGCAGCTGCATTACAAAACATTCATTTGAACAGCACAGACGGCTTGGTAGTTGTCTCGGCTTTTTTGCCAGTTGTTTTGCACCGAACTGATGCTGGAAAGTGGTCCGCAGATTGGGATTACGAGGCGCTGCTCAGTATGCAGACGCATTTGCGAGTAACCCGAATTGGAGTTGTCAAGTGGCGAGGATGGCATGGAAACTTTGGTATGACGGACAAGAAACACGCGAGTCCAGAAGCCGCTGGAGTGCCAGTCAATGAGCGGCACTTGGTCGATGAATGTTTACGGCCCTTCAACTGCGTCCCCGTATGGATGGATACGAAAGTCTTTGGAGAAATGTAAGATTCGAATGTGCCAGATAGTATTGGTAGTTTTCCCCTCCACTCACAACAACCTCACAAATTAAAACAGGTACAATGGCTTTTGCAAGTCTGTTTTGTGGCCCGTTCTTCACAATGTAACATCAGTGTACTCTACTCAGAAAGATTTGAAAGAGAAGAATCCAGGCGGAGATTTCCAGAATTCGGATCAAGAACAATTCTCCGAAGTGTCCATGGATGATGTGGAAAAGGGGCCTATTCATGGTGGCCATGGCAGGGAGAGGGAACTGTGGTCGGCATACAATACTGTCAACCGAAAATTCGCCGAGGTTGTTGTACAACACTTCAATGAGGGAGACTTGGTCTGGATTAACGGGTTCCACTTGTTGATCCTACCATCCTACTTGACGAGACGAATCCCAATGGCCAAGGTTGGAATCTTCTTGCACACCCCCTTTCCAAGTTCCGAGATCTTCCGAACACTGTGGTGCAGGGAAGATCTTTTACGTGGAATGCTAAATGCCGATCAAGTGGGATTTCACCTTTTTGAATACGCACGTCACTTTTTGACATGCTGTCGCCGTCTGCTCGGGTTGAACTATGGTATGATTCCAGATGCTTCGGGCGGGCATACGTTGGCAATTGATACCAATGGTCGGCACGTCGCTGTCACCAGTATCCATGCTGGTATCGAGCCCCATGTTTTGAACCAAGTTGTCGATCACGTGTCTACCAAGGCCGAAGCAGCCACCATCCGCAGCAGATTCCACGGCAAGACTGTCTTTTTGGCCATCGATCGATTGGAATCGCTCAAGGGAATACCGCTAAAACTGTTGGCGCTGCAGAATTTTCTCAAGCAGTATCCAGAATATGTAGGCAAGATCATTTTAATTCAAATTGGAATTTCTGCCTTTGAACGCGGCAGCGATTATGACCAAACAAAGAATGAAGTGGAGCAATTGGTCAAGAGAATTAATGACAAATGGCCAGGAAGTATTCAGTTCCAAGAATGTTCTGAATCTAACATGCGGCTGCAACAAAGAATGGTACTGATGCGAGCTGCGGATGTGGTCGTTGTGACGCCTATTCGCGACGGATTGAATCTTCTTCCATTGGTACGTCATATCTGTTGATGATTTCGTTGCTTTTGAATTGCGAGATGCTCACTCACCTTGTCAATCGTTTCTGTAGGAATTCACTATGGCCCACCATGATGCCTTGACACCTGCTGGTTTGGCTGACAAGCGTAAGCGTGGACTTTGTATCTTATCTGAATTCGCTAGTTGTACAAGAGTTATGCGAGGAGCCCTGCATGTCAATCCTTGGAAAGTATCGGAACTTGCGACTAGCTTCCATCAAGCACTTACGATGACCGATGACGAGAGGACGAGGAGAGTTCAGTGTTCAATAGAATTTGTTTCGCGAGTGACAACACAGCGATGGGCTCTGGCTGTTTTGATGGATCTGAAGGGTGTCCAGAAAAGCCACAACCCAATTCAATACTCGGGTGCAGGCTTGGGACTTGGGTACCGTATCCTTGGTATGGATGTTGGTTTTGTGTCATTAGACTTCAGCAAGGTGGCGAAAGCTTTCAAGAATGCCAGATCAAGGCTTATTTTGTTGGATTACGGTGGTACAATAACAGCGAACGACAACGTAAGTGCTTCTACTCCCCTCCTGCAACCCCCACCATGCATCGTCCTCATCAACTGTTTTGCAGCTTGATTCTCTCTATAGATTCAAAATGGTAAAGGAGCGAAAAACACATTCGAATCCCACTGGAGCAATGATCAATACGATAAAGGAACTCTGTGCTGACAAGAAAAATACTGTGTTTGTCGTGAGTGGAAAAGAACGACATTCACTGACAAAGCTTTTGGGCGATATCCCACGACTTGGACTTGCAGCTGAACATGGAATGTTTATTTCGTGGCCAACACCCAAGGCTTCGGAGAAAAGGCAGTGGGAAACGCTTGTGCCAATCACGGATACAACGTGGAGGGCACTGGCATCGGCTGTAATGGAAGTTTACACATCACGAACGCATGGAAGTTACATTGAAGAGACCGAAATGAAGGTCTTATGGCAATATCGTGATGCTGATCTTGAATTCGGATATGTCCAAGCTCGCGAACTCGAAGATCACCTGTCAAATGTGCTGAGGAGCTTCCCTGTAGACATTCTTCATGGTGGGGTGCAAGAAGGAGGGTACGTCGAAGTCAGACCCAAGGGGGTGAACAAGGGAATGCTGGCCATGAAGGTTATCAAGAACTTCCCCTCTCTTTCCCAAGTCAACAAGGTCGAGTTCGCCCTGGTACTCGGTGATGACCACTGTGACGAGCCCATGCTTTCTGTCATGCGTCAAATTGGACGCCGTGTAACGGACGCACGGCTGTTGAAGAAAGGAGATGACCCATTGCCAGACCTTCCCGCTAGTTTGACACTGGTGGACGTTTCTGGATGCGATGATTACCTTGCACCAAACCTTGAGGTGTTCACATGTACTGTCGGAAAGAAGCCTAGTGCAGCTGCCAACTATTTGCGTGACGTGACCGAAGTTCAAGAGCTGCTGGACGCACTTAAGAAAGCAGCATCCAGAGACCAGAAATATTATTCGGCAGTGAATCTACAAGACTTTTCACAAGAGAATACGGCAGTGCAGAATACTTTGCATCGCTTTGACAATACTCTTGCTGGAGCTTCCATCAAACGCCATTCGAGTCTGGGGAGTCTGAGTAGTGGTGTAGGAATGTACGGCAGTGATCAGAAAGTCAGTGCCAACTTGGGAGAATACCTCGGAGGATTCGACGACGTGGCCGAAGAAGATGATAATATCTTCTTCTAAGGTCCTACTTGATGATTACAAGAGATATCAAATAGGACTATTCTATATAGAGCATTTTGGTTTGTTTACTATGCACCAGCTTGAGAATTGATAATGTTTTGAGTCGCGCTCTTGCCAGTCACGATGAGCGTCGGCACTGGAACTTGCATAATGGATCGATTCATGGACCTAGTCTGGCTGGATGACCCATCGCTTGAAAACGAAGAATCTGAAACTCGGGTGACTCGCGAGGAAGGAATGGATTGAGCTGGTCTCAGATTGGGCCTAAAATTTGTTCTTATGCCGTCAATGGGAGCAGTCAAAAGAAGTTCAAAACTTCTTCTGTTGTGCAAACCAACACCAGGGACTCCGACGGATACCCATCCATTGCCCCACTTTTCTACTGTACCAGTGCGGCCTTGCAAGGGACCAGTGGCTATGAGCACGGATCTATGCAGCCAGGTACCGGTCGGCAGAGAGCTTAGACTCGATTGCGAGGTCAAGGACGATGAAGGATTTGAACTGACGACACACATGTTGCACGAGTTTCTTCTTGATGCTGGGCGACTCTTATCATAGTGAGAATGCAGGTAGCAGAATTTTGTTTCGTTCACTGCAACATAAGCACAACGTCGACCTCTTGTAGTAGTAGCAGTGCAATTTACTTCTCCTGGGGCCTCTGTAAAACGTTTGTCTTGATGCAAAATGTTGGGTAGCATAGGCAACTCCGGACTTGTCTTTAGTAGAGCTACTGTATGCTGCGGAACAGTTTCAGCTTTGTTTCCATCAGTAGGACTACTAGGATCGTGCCTGAAAGCATTTGTACACTGCTGATAATGCAGCTTACAAAAGTTGCTACTATTGTAACAAGGTCGCCTTCGACAGTAGGACTTGTTTCTTGCAGTTCGCCAATGGCATCCATTCGGTAAGGGGGTTACCAATCGAGGGAGGTTTGTACTGGTGGTACCCATAATGGAATTCTCAGGAAACCTCCCTCTCACAGAGTTGGGGGAAGATGGCTCCGATGCTTGAGTAACACTCTTTGGAGTTTGTGGCAATGTGCACGAGAGTGAACTTTTGGGGGTGAACAGACTTGAGTTCCTGTCACTATTTTCATCATTCACATATGATGAATCTATGGCCACAATTTGAGAATCAGGAGCATCATCAATGAAATTCAACCGAAATCTTCTTTTCTTGAGAGGAAGGGACCCGCATCTCAAGCGACGAGATGCCTTGTCTGCTCTGGACTTGAAGACTAGCTTTTCTATGCCCATGTTGAGTTCTGAGGTTTCTTCGTTTGATTCGATTTGTTCTTTCTGTGATTTCAGAAAGAATCTCAAGAATTCCTTGCGTATAGTCACAATCTACAATGGTACTGTTTGAAGCAAATGAAAGAGTAACTAATCTTTTCAATATATAGAGGCTTCGGTAGAAAGTTTGGTGTAGGAAAGCAAGAGTTGGATGGTTTGTAGACGGTGTGAGAGTTGGGTCGTTGTGATGTTTTGCAGATCTTGGGAATCTCGTCTGCCAACGTCTCTACCGGTAGAATGAAAAGAAACGATGGCGGATCGACTCCGAGCTGGGCTTACTTAACGACGGTACTCTTGCGCTGACGCGGCAGACCAATCAAATCGGTGAAATCTTAAAGTGGCTGTGCAAGATTCGAAATACCACGACTGGTTCAGTGCAGTGACAAATTGAAAATGCTGAGCACGTGCTCTGGGCAATTCGACAAAAGATACCAAATGAGTACCGTATGTAGCGCTTGTGGTGAAGGACGACAATGGTTAGAGATGATTGATATTAGTATATCTTATAAGACTCAAATCAATCAAGGCAAGAATGTATCTATGTATCAATGCATAAACCTGTCAATGCAATATCATAATTTACACTACACTACCACTGTTGTCGTTAGTCCTCCAAACCTTTCTGGATGGATTTCATTTCGGATTTGAGAACCGATGGCCAAACTTGTGGATAATATGGAGAATCAAATGTCTCTCCCGTAACTTGTGATGGGTGATGCCTACCCCATGCCTTTGCTTTTCCTGGAACATATCGAATGGTGTACCGCAATCGGTAGTCATCCCCATCTGCTCCTGCTGAAGGATCGTCACATTGGTGTTCCTCAGATCTCTCACCTTCTGGTACTGGTCGAAATGGCTCACTACGATGAAAGGTCCAACGATCCCAAATCAATGCATCCCCTGGTTCCATATCGAAAACGACTGAAGCTTCCAACATTTTCTCATGGCATTCCGGCGAGACCTCTTCCATGTCGCAGGTGGGCGAATATCCTCGTTCACCGACGTTGGTAATGGCCTGTCGACATTCTTCAAAAATGGGCTCCACTTTGGATTGATTGACGACACGGATTCCTCCACCTTCTTGTATTCTCATGGGTGACAGTGCAATCCAGAAATTGACTCCAGTTGTTTCGTACGATGCCGGCCTATTAGGTACGACGCAACAGCAGATGTCAAATTAGTGGAATTTCTTTCATTCGTTCATGCATTGGAATGACAGTAACATACGTCACATAACGTGCACCGACATATTCAGAGCACACTGATAACGATTCAGTTCAAGTCATCCAGAAACATACCAAAAGATTTTATCGTCCACGTGAAATCCACAGCCAGTATTGTTTTTTTGTTGGAATCCAAAAAAGCCATCCTTTAATATCCTGATCGTCTCTTCTTTCTCATGGGCATTATTGTTATTGTCCTCATTGTTGATCATTTCGTAAGCATCCCCAACTCCCAAGAACTCCGCAGCCACACTGGGCAAATTTTCAAAGGCCAATTGGGCAAATTCATCTTTGCGCCGCCATAAATCAAAGGTCAGTTTCTTGAAAAAGTTGGGAAGATTGGCATCCTTTTGGTGATTGGCAGTGGCGTAGATTTCCTCCGCAGAGTCCATGAGTTTGGAGAGTTCCTCTCCTTGCAAGAGACCCTTTTTCAACACAAAGCCGTCTCGATGATACTCTGTTAGTTCTGTCGGAGTAATGGTAACGGAAGGAAGAGGAGGTGTTTTGGGATGTTTGGCCCCACCACGAAATCGAATTGCATCTTGGCTTTGTGCCTTGGATTGATGCAATTGGACGACTTCCAGAATGACTGCTGCTGCGACAATGATTGCGGTTTGCCACATTGTTCTTTTGTTCTTTGGAAATGCTTGTTTTGTTTTGTTTTGTTTTGTTTTGAATCGTATTTCTTTCGTCCTCCCTCCTGTTTGACGAAAAGATTGTGTGATGGATTATTGTGATGGATTATTGTGATGACTGACTTACTGACTCACTCACTCTACCGGTATTAATAGCAGTCTTTTATTATAATCGCGAATGTTCAGAAAAAATCGTTTCTTCTTCTTGCTGACTCAATAAAACAAATTCAAAATGCTGCTAGACAAGAATTCGTTTGTTTCGTTGCATGATGATGATTTCATTGTAATAGGAGTTGCCGGATAATCATGCTGAGTTGTCGGATAATCATGCTGAGTTGTCTCATACGGCACTTGTATGGACCTGAGACCGGTACTACCGTATTACTGTACCGGAAGGAATTTTTGTCAGAAAAAAAGCAGAAAGGGAAGAAAACACGTCACAGCCAAGTTTGACCTGGCGAACGAATGAATGATAGATATATACCGGTATGTTTAAGTGCCAGGTGACAGGCTGGAAGGAAGGAAGGAAGGAATCAAACTATTTGGGGACAGTCGTCTGGGGAGCAACCGCAACTGTAGAAGCATGTCGGAAATGTATAGTATAGTAGCGGTATAGTACATTATCGTAGTGTATACGGTATATGATATAATAACAGAATTCATTCTAATTATATTTTACAGTACAGTAGCTCATGGTCCTAGTCCTACTGTAGTTCTGGCACAACAACGCAGAACGCACAGTGTAGAATTACTCAAACATGCAGTACAGTACAGTAAAGCGACCGCTTTTGTGACCGTGACGATCTCGTGTCGTGCCTGAAGGTATCAAATTATTAATGCCTACTGTATGGACTGATTGAACGTAAATGTAAATGTAAATAGACAAGGCTACATTACTGCGTACTACACAAAAAGGTTTCCCCGGTTCCTCCATTCCACTGACAAGAGTGCAGTCAGTTGATATGATATTGAAACCTCCACAGAGGAAGTGCCCTTTGAAATCAAGTTGATGGAAGTCTCACCAACTTGCATATTGATATCCATTCAGTCATCCATCTGTTTAATACTCTTGAGATGCACTCTTGGAGGCAACCTTGGACTTCTTGGGAAGCAGAACCGAGTGAATATTGGGCAAGACACCTCCAGAAGCGATAGTAACATCTCCCAAAAGCTTGTTTAGTTCTTCATCGTTCTTGACGGCAAGAGTAATGTGACGGGGAATGATACGAGACTTCTTGTTGTCACGAGCGGCATTTCCAGCCAACTCCAAAATTTCAGCGCACAAGTACTCCAAGACGGCAGCGAGGTAAACAGGGGCTCCAGCACCCATACGAGTAGCGTACTTTCCTTGACGAAGGTAACGACCGATACGACCGACGGGAAATTGAAGTCCAGCCTTGGCAGAAGACGAAGTGGATCCCTTTTTGGCTCCGCCACGGCCACCTTTTCCTTTTCCTGTTGGATTCGATTGGAGTGAAATGATTACGCCAGCGTTTAGAACCAGTGTTTCACCCAAACAGCACCATTAGTGTCTCCAAAAACTACTCTTTTCTTCTTACCTTTTCCAGTCATGTTGTTGTTGTTGTTGTTGTTATTGTTGTAATTGGTGATAGATTCCAAAAGTGATCGATGATATCGTGGCCTCCGTTTTTCTTTTGCCCAATCGGTTCGATCAGTGTCGTAAGGTATGTACTGGATTCACATTTGGGGTGGCGTATGTACGTTTGTACCACAATGGAGCGTTGAAATACGGGTGCAGTCCAGACACACCGCGCCGAAAAGGACGAAAAATCAATGACGGATGGCAGGACGGACAACAACCTTGTAGGCTACTACCGGTACGAAGTACGAACCTGTACAAGGTTCTGGTACCGATTTGAATTCATCAAGATGGTGGCGAGGACCCACCTTGTTGAAAAACCTTTTCGGATCACTTTCTAAAAAGATTGTATGGATTGAATAATGCGCAGTCCGCAATTGAATGGTTGACCGGGGTTGGCGCTAGATTTGGATTCACGATCCTACAGCAGCAGGGTACTAGTAGTAGTAGAGGCCAGGGAAGCGGGGGGTCCCTCCTACGGCAGATGTTACTCTTGATTGAGTGTAAGACTACTATACCTGTGCGAGTGCATCAACAGCATTGCATTCTTTCAAAGATTACAAGATTCTTTGAATACGGTACAAGGATACCTATAGGAGAAGCAGAAATCACTCATCCACAGCATACAGAAGAACGCTTTCGTTGACCCTTGCGCAATGCAATGTTGGTTTGGTTGGTTCATGCCGGCGGCAGAAGGTGGTACTGGTACCAGGTACCACCACAGTCAGGTGGCGCGTTTGTTCTGGTACCTAACGGTACCTGGTGGTGTTGGTAAGATCCAATACATAATGAAAAATTAATCGATGAGAGCGAAAGTTCGGCTCTGATCAACTGTGACCAACTAAGTACCGCTAAAACGAGACCACAAATATGTCGAATAAGTATTTTCAACATTTATCAACATACCATGAACGCAACGACCTTATCCTCTTTTCAATCGTTTCTGCTTGGGATTTGGACGCCCTTGGAACAACAATGATGAGGAAATGGCGTTCGGCTCAACTGACTCACTCTTTCCTATTCCTGGAGGATGGGAAGAGGCAACCCCTCAACCCTGCTGTACAGTACATCGTATGTATCGTATCGTACCAGAACCGTATTTGTACCGGGCGGTACAGGAACTCTTATTAGGTCAGATATTGGCTGTGGATGGATCCTGGCTGTCTGATCGAAGAGGCACACAAAAGGTACTGTACAGTACCACTTGGTACTACCAGAACCGGTACGCTCTAGTCTTCGCGTTTCCCGTTTCGCGTAATATTTGGAACAAGCATGACATGCAGGAAGCGTTTCGCTTATCATGCCGCCATGCCATGAGCACGATATATGATACTGTCTACGCTTAGGCTAAACGAAATATACCATGACATCCCCTACCTAGTTCGGTGATGGATGCTCTTAGAGCTCGTCTGAGCCTAAGATGGCTATGTGAGCGTCGCATAGCCTACCAGCAGCTCTCCTATCTACCTTGCCTACCTAGTTTAAGACTTGTAAGCATTGAATGCAACAGGACAATTAGTATTTACAAGCATAGGTTCTAATGTACATATTAAATCTTCTCATATGCGCTGTGAGTCGTTGTCCTTTCAAAATTGTGTGTCTTGGGGTCCCAACAAAGGGATCCAAAATCTTCCCGCTAAAATTGCCTTTTTAGTGTCGACGAGCCGTCGTCAACAGTAGTGGCATTACCCTTGAAACTCGTGGTAGTTTCATACGACTGGAAAGGCGGCGGATCTTCTTGCTTCCTTTCCGTAGGAGTCCTGGTCGTTCTTGGATGGGCTTGTCTTGGTCCATGGCGCTATCCTTGCGGTGTGCTCGGACTGAATCAGCATCAAAGGCTGCTTCTTGGATGGTCTCTGGGTCGTACCCTTGACGGTATAGCAAGCGCGTGCGCTCCCAAGGATCCAGTCGAAGTTCTTTTGGGCTTCGTCTCTTAGGACGGACCGCTTCGTAGTGGTTCACGGACCAGAGTTCGTCCTTGATGACTTCCAAGCCCAATCCAATGGGGGGGCCAAAGCAGGGAATGGAATCACCAATTCGGATTCCGAATTCGACTACTGATAAAGCACCGAATCGCACTTTCTTGAGAGACTTCGTTTTGGGTGCTTCTTGCGTCATGGTGATATCATCGACCAATGCGAAAAAGTCATCATCGCAATCGGATGATTGCGTAGAGGAGCGTGATGATAACGATTCACGACGCTTGTACAGTTCTGCTTTTGATGAGTAGCACATGGTATTGTAATCCATTGTAGTCGTTAGTTGTCGTGCTTTGTGTGTTATTGTGGATACAAACAGTGCAATGAAATGAAATGTTTGCGTGTTTGAGCCTTGCGAGTCAAGTTGTGGTAAAGTATAGTTTGTGGGAACTTTTCACTTCTTACTCACAAGTGCAGACGGTTCAAAAACTGCACACACGAAGTTTTTTTGTTCCTCGCCGGCACCATATGTAGTGCATTTGTAATTTGTACATTCCTCTGTGCAGTTTTTCATGCGCAGTACATAACGACATGATACGAATTCGTTCAAACTGCGCAGAATCATTGGAGTCAGTCGTGCACAATGCTAGCTATTGTTCTCTCGCGAATAAATTGGTCTTTTCTACACGCGACCACTGGGACATGGATACAGGAAAGAACAAATGTACCCGGTGTTAATCCCTGCGCGGAGGGACGCGCATGCCTATCTCCGACTGTCTCTATCGAGCATTCCGTAGCACCCATAACTTATGTAGAACATGGTTTTGAGCACTACTTCAATAGTTCTACATAATTATCCCTTGACAAGAATGGTGTAGGTGATTCCCTCCAACGCAGAAGTGTCGACAATCACTCCCCCTGACGGATACCAAACCCCGCCTCAGGACTCCCAAGGAGCCCGATGTTCAGCTCCTCAACGCGAGGACACACCACCACCATCGGCTTGTCATTGTATTTTTTCGGCTTCCCGACTCCCAAAAGTCGTCCACCGAAGCCCCTAATATTTCAGAAGTGCCTGTTCTATTATGGTTTATGGCTCATGTTTCCTCTCCAGGAGGTTGTTCATGAGCAAGTCTAACTGTTTCAATTTTTGCAACGGCAAAGAATCGGTCCAATCTATTCCCGGTTCTGACGCAAACTACCAGAAATTTGACCAACAACGTTGGGCGCCGTCTCACATTCTACACTGTTCATGATGCTTCGCTACTGGTCCTTTATGCTGCCCACGATGAACCTGGCGCACCCCAAACCCAACACCAAAGCGGGTGTCGATCGACGACTTCCAAGGTTGCTCGATTTCCAAGGTTGCTAGGCCGTGAAGTTCCAAGGTTGCCGGCCTTCCAAGGTTGCAGGCCGGCACAACATTCGATTTCCAATCAATTATTTCGAATGAATAAAATTCAAAATGCTCCACAGAGCGTCGGCAAGGTTGTGTTAATCCCTGCGCGGAGGGACGCGCATGCCTATCTCCGACTGTCTCTATCGAGCATTCCGTAGCACCCATAACTTATGTAGAACATGGTTTTGAGCACTACTTCAATACCCGGTACCTGTATGCAGTTTCAAAGATGGAGCTTCAAAAAAGGACGCATGCCTATTGCACTGATTTCTGATTTGTTTTATTGCTCCACTATCCAACACGCTGTATATATTGATTATTGACCAGTACCAGTGGAATATGGCGCAAGTGGCAATGAACGAATGAACGAGAAGGTGAACCACTGTAGCCGTTGTGCGACCGTCCACTATTATTCACTGAAAGAATTACGTCGCCATGCTGCATGGCATGACCTAGTACTAGTCATAGTAATATCTTACAATAACATGCCGGTAAGCAAGAATGTGAACCAACAGTATGGACCGTCCACACAATATTCTCCCGTGACATCATTGCGTCGTCATGCTGCAGCATGACATAGGACTATCTATTGAGTTTCTGGTGGGCGGCTTTAAAAACACATGTATTTTAGGGCTCGGGCTCGCATGATCAACAATATGATGAGCGAGTGGTGGTAGCATGTCTTGAGTTTCTGATGGCTTGGGATGGGCTCGGATACTGGTACGGTAGGTACAGTATCAGTATGTGAAAGAAAGATTTCGCTGGATAGCGGACGAGAGCACTTTTTCATACTTCTCGTGCAGTCCTATAGTGTATGCAACAAGACGCATCAATGAACCAGTCAGAATCCAGCTCAGACTTCTTACAAGCAATGAATATCCCACTGAACTAGTTCCTATTAAGCCCTTACTGGTATAGTATACTGTTGCAAGAAGGACTTCACTGTTTCATACTGTACCGGTGGGAGAACCCTGCCATCGTTCATGCAGCATTTCCAAGGGCAAAGACATGAAGTCCGTTCCACAGTTGGTACGTTCCAGTCATCTCCATGGATAATCTCTAACGATTAGAGGACTAACAACTTCAGCAGCAAAAAAGAAAAGCTTTCGTGTTCTAAACCAATGAAATGCAGCTGGATAATTTAACCAATCCTCCCTGTTTTCAAATCTATCTCTTGGGGTGCCTGATCCAGCAATCAATCTCCCTTCCTTCCCTGGAAAGACTGATTTCTTTACTCATGACTGGATCAACAAACAGGGTTGGCCAACAACTCAACTACTTCTTGTTCCAGTCACCCATAAAATCAACACCGCACTTGTCATTGGCCCAATGATTGCCATTCAGCTTAACATCCACAGTGATCTTGCTAGCTTTATTTGTCTGTGGGTCCAACGAATTTGTTTCCAAAACACCATAAACCAGGTCATTCAATCCATTCTTTTTCCATGTCTTTTCATGTTCTTCCAAAGCCTCCCATTTGACCATGCACTTCCATTGCTTGTTCTGTCGCAAGAATCCCAACTTTTCTGTCAAATTCATTTGTTCCAGATCCACCAAAGTACCACCATTTCGTGGCCAGTCCCAACTAAGACCAATGTTTTGGCATCGGAGCTGCAGTTCATCATCTTCGCCACCCCAACCCCAAAAAGTGTTGGGGTATCCGTTGATTCGCTTAAAATCAGAGGCACTGAAACTAACCACGCCTCCAAAATACTTGGGGTTGTTCGAGTATCGATCCCAGACCCGTGCAATGTGATAGGGTGCCTTGGGAAACGTAGCATACGCGTCTCCCAAATCTGCCTGGGGAAGCAGATCCACATCGTGGAAGATAAAGGCGTCGTGCTTTCGTTTTGCTTTTTTCGCCAAATCAAAACCAATGTTTAGCAGCTTGCCTCGATTGAACTTGCGATTGTCGTCAGACTGTTCTACAATGTAGACATGGAAATCAGAGACTTTGGATTTTCGTTGAAGATTCTTCAGAAATCGAACCATGTGTGGTACAAATTGCTCCAAATGTTTCGCTCGGTTTTGTTCGGGGTGTAAATCTCTATAAGGAACAATGATTGCCACGTTGGTGGCATCCAATGCCAAGAAAGAATCTGCTTCAGTGGTATTGGGTCTCGATCTCTTTTGTTTCTGATCAGTACTGCTGCTAGTTCCACCACCACTGGGTCCTTCAGCTGGTCGTTTGGCCTTGTTTTCTCGCATTTTTTGTTTTTCGCGTTCTCTAGCTTCTTCGGCACGCTTTTTCGCCATCCAAGGATCCGACGCTTCACTTGCTGTGGGAAAGTGCCATTGAGTATGTTTTGTGTCCTTGTGACTGTAAAAGTATCGTTTCTGAGAATTGGAAAAGGTTCGTACCCATCCCTTGGGCAGAGGCATTGCGTCTGTTTCGGAAGACATGGCTTGATTGACCAGTACGATGATTCACTGAACAGATTATTGTTGGTGTGTTGTGTCTGCTGTTGATGCCAATGAGACGATGATAGCACAGCAGGTTTGAAGCAAAACTGCATGTTTGCCTGGCTGTCAACCGGTCCCGCGGCCGCTGCTTTTTCGTGTGATTGAATTCGACTACGTCATTCATTCGGGATTGCACCAGTCCTGTTTCCTGATCGGATGATTGAGTGAGGAGTATGAGTCGATTCAAGGCCGAAAACCTTGGCCACTATTTTGGCAAACGTCGCCAATACTGTTACTCTCCTATGCACATGGCCTCGACTGGGCAAGACCGAAATTAATTTCTGTTCAAGGAAAAACCTTGAAGTAAATTTGTGGGGAAAATCGCCAATTCACCAATGCCTCACAAAATCAAACTCACATCATACAGTAACGACCTCCTCATCTTGCTGAAACAAGAAAGACACTTCGCACCTCCCTCACTCAAACTCACACGCTGTTGCCACAATGGATTCTCTCATGAACGAAGTACCCAACTGCATCAAGGGTCAGTCCTACAACATGGGTAAAAGAGTGCTTGCCAAGCTCTCGAAAAAGAGCAAACCACGAAATGGCAAGGTGATTCAAGAAATGGTACAACAACAAGTCGACCATGGAATCGATGAAGACCGCAGTGCATTTGATGACATGACCATCATGTCACAAGAGTCGGGTAACTCTTCTTCTTTGCCACCACAATCTCGATCTTCATTCAGAAATGGAAACCTTGATTCCAATGAAGAGCCACCAGTCTGGGTAATGAACAGCCCAACCGGTCGTGGTCGTGAAGAGAGAGTTTGCTGGAACGATGTCTCGCAAAGGCAACGCGTGTTCGTGTTCGATGGGGTTTTTGCATGAGCAGCTACTAAGAAGTCACAGAGCTTTTGAAAAAGGATTATGATGCTGCTGAAAAAGCGTCAATACTACATACTGCACAACTTCCGATAGAATTCTTCTCTCTACGTCTGCGATAGTTCGATATGGCGATTTAATAAAATAGAGTACTATAGTTTTCACGTTATGAGATGTACTATCTGTTAGTTCCTTGTTTATTGCAACGAATTCATTTTGATACTGTATTATCGCATATACTGCAGGTTGTCATTTTCAGGTACTGAATCAGACTCTAATACTTGTTTTCAAGATATCTATAATAGGGAGATGAAACAACCAAGACTATATAATAATAGTTATGCCCCAAGATCTCTTTTCAGCATAACCAACACTGGGAGTTGTCTTCCAAGATTCATAAATTCATCAGTAAGAATGCCCGAGTTAAAACGAAGATCGACTCCCATGCCAGGCACTATGAAGGCTGTGGAATATCATGCAAGAACCAACAGGAGTACTTCGTCACTGTGCACCAGAAGATATCCTCGTTCGATGAACCGCAGACGCAGCAATGGGATCATGAACTGTATCGATCATGTCATGGAAAATGGCGTCCCAACTCCACAGCAGCAGCTAGGCTCACACGAAATCACCAAGCCATACACTCGACTATCCGACAGTCGTGGTGGTGGCAGCCCCAGCATTGCATCAACGACCGCGCCTTTGGAGGATTCACTGTCTTCCATAGAGTCTTTCAATGAACTGGAAGAAACTGGCGTACTGCCTTCCACTGACGGAACAGACAAGAAAGAAGATCAATCCCCGACTATTGCAATCTGGGCTTGGGACAGAGGACTCCTCGAGTCAAGGGATGACACGATTGACATCTGGGATGAGTTATTTCTTTCCAAATTTCACTCGCAGTCACCATGATAAGATGTCACTGATTTTCTGTTGGCCGGGACTCCTTTCATCACCGATTTGAACAGATGCAGCAATCCGGCCGTATAACTGGTTCTTGTTCATCACAACTATGTGGTCATAGCGACATTTCGTCTCAACAAATAGCTTTCATTATTATTGATCTTTACATATAGATCAACCCTTTTAATGGCACTAATCCTTTCACTGGGGTTGGTATTCATCGTTGGGCGAGTCAGAGCTAGTGAGGTTGAACGGACACTGCAGCACGCTGATGGATGAGCCGCATATAATTGTTCAGATTTTGTGATGTCAAACGTGAAGCATTCGAAGTGGTCGTCTACAACAGACAAAACGCACCGCTCCCAGGTGAAAATTTGATCGTTGAGTATAGCACAAAATGTGGACAGGTCCGGCAACCATTTCCTTCTCGGGTAAGGCTGCTCTAAAATGAGTTGCATACTGCAAATGGTCATTGTACTTGGGCAATACTCAAATTCTAGTAAACGAAAAACATGGTGGCTGGCTGGTTTCCGAAGAGCCGGGATGAATGTAAACAGAGATAGACACTGGATGTACCCCGTCATGACTAGGGCAAAGTGCTCTAGTGCCGTACCGGCACCGTTTCAAGTGCGACTAAGCCACAAGTCACATCCCAGTACCGATTGTTGTTGTGATACCGATTGTTGTTATGAAACAACACAAGCTGTCAAAAATATTGTGAGGAGAGTCACACTGGCTGGCATAACAGTGGCCATTCTGACATTTCTCATTTAATAGGAGTATCTGGTGTCATTCTCTATATTAAGTAGCAATCTTTTCGGCGACTTTTCGAAATTCGACAATCGTTAATAATTATTGGAACCTTTGGCTCGGAGAAAAAGGTTCATTCGAGGTACAAAGCTCCCCTTACAAGTATTGAAAAGTTGTTTTGTCATAACCGTTCAGATTGCAACAACAATAACACAACACACAAAATAAATCCTTTTTCCAACTTCACGATGGCACACGAAAAAGTAATTGAATACGGAAGCAAGAAGTCGTATCTTCTCAAGAGACGAAGTAGTGCAAGAAGAGTCGGCTCCTTTCGAAGATCAGTGATGGATTCCATCAACGACAATGTGGAGTCAAATCCACTTCACCGGTTTGCATCTTGTGGGGATATCCAAGCAGGGACCAAAGATGATAGCACGGCAGCGTCCTCTGTGACCTCCTCCTTCAGCTCCCTTCCTGGTGGTAGTAAGAGGGAGTCGGACGATAAGGATTCGAAGCAAAACGCAGAATGGGGATCGAACAGAAGTTCGTCAAACCGAATCAAGCTCATGGACCGAGGCGAATTGCTTGTCGAAACTGATACACAGTCTTCCAGATTTTTACGACAAGACCTTTGATTTGGAGCATAGGCTGAAAATTCCATTGAAAAATACGTAAATTTTTAAAACTAAAGATTTTGGCAGATATCATCATTGACGCGAGCTAGAGCTGCCTGTTACTCCTCCTGCCAGAGAGTTCTTCTACTATATAAAACGCAGTTTCTAAATCGTTAAAAATCATTTTACATGTGGACTATGCGAAGAAATCGAAACGATGAAAAAGTATTGTGAGGAGAGTTTTTATTCGAACCCTTTTGCCCACGAAATGCAATTTCAAATTAGCCCCTGCAGCGTTATAAAAGACTATATCGGAGAATTAAATGGTTTCGGACGTACACAAAGCCCAATCAATCGCTAATCAAAGCCGAAGTCACGATTTGCAACAATTTCAAATTGCAAATAGAAGACCACAAATTCACATTCCACCTTTTAAAAAGATGGAAGACGAGAGAATAATTGAATACGGAGACAAAAGATCTTATCTTCGTAAGCGTCGAAGTAGTCACTATAGAGTCGGATCCTTTCGAAGGCAAGTGATGGATGCCATCAACGACAATGTGGACCCAAATCCACTTTACCGATTTTCATCTTGTGGGGATCTCCCAGGAGGGACAAGGGATGATGACACGATTGCATCCTCTGTCACTTCCTCCTTCAGCTCGCTCCCTCGTAGCTCCTTCAGCTCCTTCAGCTCGCTCCCTGGGAGTAAGAGGGGGTCGGGCCATACGGGTTCCATGCAAAACGTGCAATGGGAATCGAGCAGAAAATTGAACAGGAATTTGTCCAGCAGATACAAGCTCATGGACCGAGGTCAGTTGCTTGGCGAAATTGACAGGCAGTCTTCCAGACTTTTACCACACGATACCTCTGATCTATAACATCAGGAGGCTGAAGAATCCATTGGTATCGAGCGCTAGTTGTAGAATTACTAAATATTGTGAAAGATCTCATTGACGCTAGCTGCCTCTCCTGCTTGCCCGTGTTATTTTTATGTATTGCTGAAATGGTATCCATTCAAGATGTGTTTCCGCTCCACTTGTTTGAACATAACGACGGTGATCTGAAAGTATCAAAAACTTGCGGTGGTACTTGTCGTCATGGTGGACAAGCTAACTGAATCATCCTCCAACGAAACACGGCTTTCGTCATTCAGTATTGGCCTAGGGCTGTCGTCAGTCTCGAAGGCAAAGTTGAGCGGAGGGAGACCTTGCATGTCAATGTTCTCGATCTGTTGTTTGAGTCTGTCCAAGAAGCAAAAGACAGCTGGGTAGGAGAATTCTCGATCCAACCCCAAGTCTTCGGCGTCATTCTTCATCAACAAGTGCCTCCAATGTCTCGCCAGTGCTGACAATATCTTCTCCCTCGAGCGCTTCCGTTCGTATTGATGCATCCATGCCGAGTACCGATGAATGGCATAGGAGAATCCAAACAATAGATCAAAGCGTTCGTCCAAAGAGCTGCAAGTTGCATATCGTCGCTGAAAACCTGCAAAGTGCTGCAAGACAGGTGCCAAGGATCGTTCCAAGGATATCACAAAGCTGGAAGTCTTGGAATTCTCTTTGTAATGATCCAAGCAAGAAACCAGTATTTCTTCTCGCCGATGAGGCAGGAGCATAACTCTTAGTCTTTGCACCTGGGATTCCTTCAACTGTGACGCTCGTACTATAGGTGCAGCCAATTCCACAAACTCGGGATCACTTGGTTCCAATATTTCTCGAATGTACAGAATAGCAGTCTCTTGAGGGAATCGACTCGTCACTAGATTCAATTGTTTCATCATGACTTCAAATGGTGCTTTCCTCCTCCTTCGTTTCCGCTTGGCCAGCATTTTGCTGGTCAGCATCATTTTGCTCGTCTTGTTACTGCTGCAGTTGCTACTGCTTCGTGGAGACTTGATGATGTGATCAAAGCAAAAGATTTTGGCTGGAGAATGATGTTGCTCTTGATACTGCTCCTGCTGATGTTCTCCAATGGAAGGAGAGGGCGATAATCTCGAAGTAATCGGCTTGTTCATTTCATATTCAATGCCAAAGGAGGACGCTGGTAACTCGACCCAATAGTATGATGGCCGAGTGGTGTACTTGTTGTTGTTGTTTGTTGTTGGAGACAGCAGTGCGGTAAGCGACAATGCCGTTGGACGACCCATATCGAAATGATCGGAGGATAATAGATAGCACAGCTTGTTTTTCGTGTGTCCTTGTTTGTGTGTATGCTGAGTGTCGAGTGCTCTCGTGCCAGAATACCCAGAGGCGATAAAAATGTGGGCACTTTCATGTCAGTTGCTCTTGCTTGCTCTTGAGAATCTTCAACGGATAAACGGATACGACATCGTTACGGCAACGACTAACCGAAGGAAGATTCTCTCATCGCAGTGGTGTACTGTAGGTTAGGTTACACATACAAAAGCAAGTTCCAGAAACATTCGTCGTTACCATCATCAAGGTCCATCAAAACCTGAAAGCTGGTATCTTGATCAGAAATTCTTGTCCTGCGGTCGAAGGTTGGACCAACAGTTGGAAATAACGTGCTTCTTGTTTACGCGCGTAAAACGGACAGAGAACCGCGTGTTTTTCTCGCGGCAAATCGTTGTACTGGAAACCCCAGTGAAAAGATTCGTTGGTATTAACGCATGGAAACGGTCGCGGCAGGTATGGTACATTTGCATCGTACATTCTACACAATCCAAATTCAAATCTCAAAGACCTCTAATTGCGCCACAGTTGGTTCCCGCCAAGGCATTGGTCGACTCTCCGCGTATTCTTCTCTACATACAGCTTCAGTACACGTTTTTCGCGTGTGTGTGCGCTATCTTTCTCCACGAGTTCCATATCGAAAAGGATAGCTTCCAAAAACCAAGTTTTACAGTCGATCGAAAGTTGAAACGTTTCATCATTGCTTCTATTACCATCTCTACTCTAGAGTTTTGGTATAAAAGGCATATCCGCTGAGAGGCTAAGACACAGCATAATGTCATCCAATACAACACTGAAGCAGCAGCAGGCACGCAAAAAGGAAATGAACTTTGCCGAAAGCGTTCATCAACTAGTGACGGAAGTTTCGGAACGAGATCCAACAATGATGCAATGGACTTCTGATGGTGCTGCTTTCATTGTGAATCCTTCCCACCCAGAGCTTGGGGTGACGCTTGGCAAGTATTTTCAACGTAAGTCATTTGAGATGGTAAATGCCTCCTATTTCCTCTAGTCTGAGTCTCATTCGCCCTCCCTTTTTTTATTTGCTTCCAAAAAATTCGCAGATTCCAAGTATTCTTCCTTTCAGCGTCAGGTAAGATTATGAAAGTAGATCACTCATGCATTCTAACCAACTCGAACTTGTTCACTGACATTTGTCCCACTTATTCTATTGCAGCTGAACCAATACGGATGGACAAAACCACGCAGTGGAAGGTAAGACAAGAAGTTCTGAATCATCACCTTGAAGTATCTTTGTTCCATTGAGACGTGTTGACGCTAAACTTCATTTTTGTTCTCAATCTTTTGTTCTTAAAAATGTGTATTAGGTATACTGGTACATTCTTCAACCCATTCTTTCGAAAGGATACAGAGCTTGAAGAAGTTCGCAAGATTGGTAGAGGTGGCTGCAAGAAGCACCTCCGAACTGTCGGATCCTCATCCGAAAACACCACTCCATTCACTAGGAAAAAGTCACGCTATATGGCGTCGTCATCGAGAAGTCAACTTGGTCTTTTGACTCCTTCCCCACATCGCCGCCGCTCTCGGCTTCCACTTCAAAAGCGACCTGTGAACATCCCAGGAGCCAAAGCAGTTTCTCCTCTGACCCCCAAGTCCATCGAGAACCCAAGCGCAGATGATATCACTGCTGTTCAAGTCCTTTTGGGTATGGTCCAAAAGACAGCGGTACCAGAAGAATTGCGGCCCTCAGATTGCTCCATTGCATCTTCGTCCGAGATCACCCAAAGCCGCCGTTCCAAGAGTAGTAGAAACTTTGCCTTGGCCGTCCATGCCTTGGTGACCGAAACTCATGCCAACAATCCCAAAATTATTAAATGGGTAGAAGGTGGAACTGCCTTTGAAGTTGATGCATCTCATCCTAAACTTGGTGATGCATTGGGAAAATACTTTCAGCGTACGTATCCGATGTTGCTTCCATCTGAAACATCTCCATCATCATCATTCCGCTCATGTTTTTCATCCATTGTTGCCTTGTCACAGACTCCAAGTATTCTTCCTTTCAGCGTCAACTCAATCAGTATGGGTGGTGCAAACTTCGAAATACTGGAAAGTAAGTGATGATGATTCGGGGATACAACATGTGTTCTTGACTTTTTTGGATCTCACATTGTGTTTTTTCTCCATTTGTGCGATTAGATTTTTCAACCATCACTTCCATCAAGACAAGGAAAAGTCAAACTTTGACTTGATTCGGCGAAAGGACAAGGACAAAAAGGCTGACGCCAGTCTTGTGTCCAAGACAAGGGTTTCTAAGAGAGCCTCTGTTGCATCGGGTCCATCGGGATCGGACTCGAAGCGTATCCAATACATTTCTGTACCCTCGACCAAGCGAAGAAGGATGTCCTCAATCTCCGAGCCGAATCTCCAGCCTGTTTCAGACGAGGACACGATCAGCAGCTCGGAAGAAGGATCCATCCTTTCTCGTCCCATGTCGTTTGTCGACTTGACCCGTCCACCAAGCAACGTCACGGCATACTTGCCACAACAATCAAATTCACATTTACAGCATTAGGGACCACGCCATGGGGAGTCACACAACATGTGTGTGACATTTGTTCATATCATTAGACTGACTGACTTAAAGGGAAAAAGTCAGGTCAAGTCAATTTCACCAAATCAAGTAATCTCGTAGTCATGAATGAATGCAACCAGTACCGACAGGATTGCGACACTCTTGCGTTTTGAAGCACTCATGGGTTTTTGTATGAAACCACATCTTCGACATTGCCCATTCCTTAAAAGAAGGTAACTTCACACACACAATACATAGAACAAAAATATAACATGTTTTCTTTTGACATCATTTTGATTGCTTTCTGTTTGGAAATTAGGTCTTTGGCATGTATTTTTGGCCAGGATTTCCGTTCGAATTGAAAAAAGTGACTGACTCAGTACGTCGTACAACAAGAAGCAATATTATGAAATAGAAGCACTCCTGGAACCATCAACAACGAAAAAGAGATTAAGAGAAGCATGCTTTCACGTCCTAGGTGGCTTCAATCAACTTGATTCATTCCTTCAACACTCCGTTACAACCAAAATGGGTTTCATAATACACATCTTCGTTGTCTGTCTCTGGCTGCAACTGATGATTCTTCCAGCAGTGCAGGCGCAAGAAGATGATGGTGATTTTTGTAATTTTGATGGAGAACGGATACCTCGGGGAGCGAGCGTGGGATCCAACTTTGAAACGCGATGTGGGCCTTGGGAAGAATGGCCCTGTTTCTGCAATCCAGATGTTCCCTATCAAGTCGATTGTCCCTATTGTGGCTTTGCGACCAACACTCCCAATCTGGTGAAGTGTGCCAAGCATGACGAGACAGTTTCGTTGCTTGCGCTGTCAGATGACCTCGGAAAGAAATGCACTTGTGATGCAAGTGATCCAGCCTTCCCAGTGAGTAGCTGCGTTGGCGATTTCTTTGCGGATAAGTGTATGTTTGTCGTGGATGGGAAAACGTTCTGGTACGCAAATGGGGATATGGTCGATGTCGTAAATCCTTGCGGATCGGTGTCGGATTACCCTTGCTTTTGCAATCCCAATCTGCAAGATCAATTGTACTGTCCTTATTGTACGGTAACCACGCGGAGTGGTGCGGTCGAATGTCTAAAGGACGAAGAGGTCAAGCAATTCAATATATTCCGACAAGGAAGCCAGTCGTCGTGTGTTTGTGACTATTCATCTCGGGGCAACTTGAACTTCCCAGCCGAACCAAGATGCAATCTTCCGGATGGCTGTGCTGTAGCAGAAACAAATGGTGCTACTACATTCTACAGCGATGGGGAGGAAATTCGGAATCGCGAGGGTATCTGTGGAACAGGGTATCCCTTCATTTGCGATGCGTCCGGCGCATCAATCGGCAGTGACAATCTCACGTACCCGTACTGCCAAATTATCGACCAATCCGGGGAAGTTCAATGTGTCAGAGATGGCGAGTCGATATCGTTGATTGATCGATTTGGAGAAAGCGTCCGTTGTACCTGTCGGTTTGGATCCTTGGGTCCAATTTCAGATTGTGTCGACTCGGACATATCAATAACTACTCCGCCGACTAGAGCACCAGCTGATTCACCAACAAGGGCGCCAACAGTGTCGACACGACCACTATCAACAACACGACCCACAGTGATTCTTTCACTGCCCCCACCAACACCGTCACCAGGACCTAGGCAGACGTCTTCGAACGCGGCAAGGCCGCGCATCACTACTGTTGCTTCCGTCGCCTCGGTAGTGGCAGCCGTCGTTGCAACATTTCAATTATTTTCACAATAGTGGAATGCCAATCTTGATATCATTGAGGACAAAAAACAGCGCTGGGATGTGCTGAGTAGTGGGGAATAATACTGCTCATGTCCTCGTCATCATGAAACTGTAGCTTGACGACATGCATTTCGTGGAAAGGTTCTTGTCATGTAGCGGTAGCTATTGGGGATAACCATTGTTGACTGGGATATCTTTGGGATCGTGCAAGTGAAGACAAATGCCTTATATGATTAGCCATCGAAAGCAATAATGCAATCTTAATCTATACGGTGGAACAATCTAGTGTTTTCACGAACTTCAATTTTCAGTTTATTAGCATCACCTGTCATGTTTTCAAATGAGATAAATCAGAGCATACCTTACTCTTTGTCCAGAGGAGGGGTACAATGGCAAGTAGAAAAGGGCTGGGATTCATCCAATGCTACTTTTGCAACTTCTTTGCACAGTGACTGTCAGTATGATCAATTAGTTGTTCCAAGGTAGATACAGTTCTCCACGGGAGGCCAACCTCAACATTTCATAGCCGTAGGATCCAGAAAGACCAAGTAATGACACGATTGCGAAAATTGGAATGAAAAGATCTCGTTCACCTTCCGATGCACTTTGCGTTCTGCTTGCTGGAGGGGAGAGCTGTCGACTGTTTTGAAGTGCCCGTAGCTCTTTTGTTTTCTCATTAAAGTCATCCTTTGAACCAGTTCCCCAGCCATCATCATCATCCTCTACTGGGGTCGTTTCAGCTTCATTTTCAAAGCCTTCCATCTTGCTCGTTAGCTTCGTGGCAAAGGGGGTATCGCAAAAGAGAGGATGACGATGATTCACCACAGACTGTGCACTGTATGATTTCTGAACGGAAATTGGCCGAAACGCAACGCATGATCCATTCAGGAATATGATAAGGACGATAGCAAGTGTGATAACCCGACTCCTTTGGTTCATTGTTGCAATAGATACTGTGTTGTAGCAGGCAGTATAATAATAATGCCTGGGGTTGGATGATATTATTGTCAGATGCCAAATGCCAAATCCTTCTAGAGCTGTGTTAGTTTTGGTTTGGCACTACTGTAGCTCTCCGGATCTCACAGTATATGGCATACCGTATTATACCGGTACACCCATCTACTGGTATATTCTACCACAAGCACCCAAACCCATCGATCAAAATGACGTTGATAGGCTTCAAAGTGAAATGATGCAGCGTTAGAAGCGAGTCCATGTCGGGACCTTTACAAGTTCGGTAATAACAAGCAGATGACCTTTTCGGCAGCGGAAATTGGGTTCCACGAAATTCTCCGGAACATGGTGCGGTCCTCCTTTTGTCATGTCGCGGCAAGCACGGTCACACGCAACATTAGATTCCAACGTGAAACCAGCACTACTGTAGCTAGCTCCTTTGCGTATCTTTTGTTAGACTGTATTTCTATAAATCTTATTTGTCTATAGATATCCAGTATGGGAGGACGTTCTTGCTCAGAAGTCTGTCAATAGGGCATCCTGAGGGTTAGTGGTAATCGTATGCTTTGTTGATGACTACGTTATCCATACAAAATAATGGATTCGTCTTTTTGTCCCCAAATGAATTCGTGTCTTACTGTGCGATCCTTCGTTTGCCAAGTTTCGTCTGTCGAATGGTGGAATCCAAATAAACATAGTCGCCGTCACATGGAAAGAGGAGTGAAGTCAATCGAAAGTTGCCTGATGACTGCGTTGTCCATACACAATAATGGACGCGTCTGTTTATCCCCAAGTGAATACCTGTATTTCTCTGTCACGGGCTGATCCCTCGTTTGCAAGGTTTCTGTAGAAAGAAATCCGACCAAGCATATTCAGGAAAACTAATTGAACCCCCATCGACCCCAAGGTGTCGCCTCGAAAGATTGTTGCTCCTCTGCATCACACGCTACAACACTTGTAGACATGGAAAGCGGAGTAAAGATCGAAGCAAAGCGTTGCACAAGGTCGCTTTGTGTTGGATGCGAACGAATGGTGATGGTTGGGTCACGGGAGCGTTGCGCTGTCATCATGATGCCCTCAGATTCTTGATCTTCTTGTTTCATAGGCTGCATATAATCAATCTTCTGCCACGAGCTCAGAAAACTATTCGAAGCGGACACCTTGGTAGGACCAAAGTTCTGTGGCAGTCCACGGTTCTGCCTCCCCTGTGAATGCTTCGATGAATCTTGGAGTAGACATTGCTCGTTTGCAGCAATGATGATGGTGGGCACAACAACTGTAGAATAGAACAACATCATAGGGAATGACTGGCTCCAGGCCACTCCAGCGACAGAAAGAAACAGAATTGGGAAGTAGATGGAAGAAGAATCGTGAACTGGACTGGTACACGTACTGCTCGCTCGAACTATTCGTTGTGACGAATCTTCTTCCGCCTCGTCTTAGTGAAAATTGAAACTTGAACTTGAACTACCTGTACGTAGAACTACAGTAGACCAAACGCTTGTCACCGTATCATTGGTATGAAGCTTTTTAGTTCTTGTGCTTTTTTAGGTCATGTTTTGATTATTGATTGTTTTCGGGGAGAATTTTGTGGAAAGCTCGATTGGCTAGACATATGCCCATCCGCCATTTCTATGGAGGATATCACGTGCTATCATTGCTAGTCCGGACATTATTTTAAGCCGATCACATATAAAGTGACGATGTCTTTGGCGAACTTTTGTAAGCTACGTGTTTAAGGCTAGTCGGATTTTTTCTCCCAAAACACGTCAATGTCTCTACGCTAAAACAGGAGCCAACCAGAATAACGCATGCAGGATGATTCTTCATCACGTCGGCGGAATTTAAAAGACGTTACATGGTCACTGAAACCAAAAACTAAACACATTTTGTCTCACAAAAAGCAAATCTTCTTCTTTTCACCGTTTCAAAACAACGCTTTGCACAATGCTCTTCCAAACTGTCCTTATCCCAGCCACCCTCATTGCCGTCAACTCCGACCAGATTCTTGCCAGAAACTTTGCCAACAACTATGACAACACTCCTGCAACCAGATTTGAACGACATGCATCTCAACGGCAGTTCTTGTCTAACTGCTACAACGCTGGAACCAGTCTTCTGAACTCGATGCAGACGACTGAGACCACGCAACACGTGCAACAGGAACATCAAGCTCAATTCACTTCTATGTTCCAATGGTTCGAACAAAGAGAAAGTGTTGCTGCCCCAGTTCCTGTTGCTGTCTCTACTATCGCCCCTGCTACTAATCTACGATCTCATCCTACCCAAAGCGACCTCGTCCAACGCTTTGCTTCCATCTTCTCTCCGCTTTCCATGGCCACAAGCGTTGCAGCGTGTGAGCCAGTGAAGCCCATGAAGGCCCCAGAATCAACCTGGGGTCGATGGTTCAACTAAGTTCCGTTACCGTGTGCGGAACTTTTAGGATGTACCTGTGAAACCTGCCTTGTCAGAGAGCGCGAGCTCTCCGGTGACCACTTGGGTCGCTGACTTGCGGTGCTTTGGAACGATGGAATGCCTGAGATGCTTTGTCGTTGGATGGTAAAACAGCCTCCTTCGACCTCCAGGGTCGTTCAGTTCCTTTTACTAAGCCCGTGTACAATTGAATACCTGAGATGACAGTTCTTCGGGGGTTGACTGCAACCACCCGAGGAGCCTCCAGGTGTCTTGTTCATTTCAAGGAATTTCGCAGTCTTTTGTAGTAGGTAGTAGAACTGTAAATTATAGAAAAAAATAGTAGATTATCGATTCACTCATTTCACTTATGGATTCAATCCACTCGTACATGGAGAATACTAGAACTGTATGGCTACTCTGATCAAACCTCGAATTTGCAGACCTGCTTGTATCACATGTCCCGGTCGCAGCCTCGAAAGGTTGAGAAAAGGATGCTTGAGGAGGGATGCCTCCCTGCTACTCTCCTCTTCCGGGTATCTTGAACCTGCTTCCAGGCAAAGGACAGAATTGCCGTTTGATGGGCGGGTTTGCATTCTTCGCAAGTGGCAAATCCCAAATTGCATACAGTAACAGGAACTTGTTTAGTCGCATTTACATCACACCAATGATACAGACAACCCTGTACTTCTGGTTTTATGAAAAGAGACAATAGTAGTACACATCTAGTAGTGTCGAATGAGGGAGTTGGTGTGCAGTGCGTGGCTTCGTGTATTTGCTATCATAGCTATTATAAGAGGACGCAGAACATTGTCGTGAGCGAGCGAAGAGGAGGATACCGCCGCGGCCGGCCGCATCATGTTGATTCATTCCTGCTTTTTCTGTTCATCTTGTGAGGGTAAAATAGAATCTAATGAAGTTATCCAAGAAAAGGCCGGTCTTGACCGAAGCTATTGAAGAGAAAGTAGCTTTCGCCGAGGCTTCATCAGCGGCAAGACCGGCCTTTTCTTGGATAACTTCATTAGATTCTATTTTACCCTCACCAAATTTGTTCTCCCTTCTTCCAGCAAAGTGGCAACTAGTTTGCAGTGCCATTCTATGTAATAATATGCCTATGCGGTTTTTCTTCCATGCCCCCTTCTGCCTTTCCTGTTTGAAGACTTCAGATTTCAGATTGAAATGAGAATAATCAAACAGGAAACCAATGATAGTCCTACCTCTTACCGGTACCACCAGGTACCAGTAGAGGTATTAAAATATTATACCAGTTCGTAAAGTAATGACATCCGTCTGTTTTCATCCGCGGTCAATCATCGGAAGGTTACAGTTACACGCGTCATTGATTGATTGATTCATTCATTCATTCGTTCGTTCATTCGGAGCTGTCGTTCATCAAACCAAACCCGAAATTGCAAACCACACATTGGCAAACCAAAGCTTCATCAATATGTTCCGATCTTGGTTACTGTCTCTTTTCTCTATTGGGATCATTTTGGCGACGATATGCTCAGTGAGTGGTGATCAATTGAATTCTGATGGGATGTGGAGCGGTGCTCTATTTCGTACTGCTGGCTTTTTGTGACGTCAAAACTGGCCGTTCGACCCGATTCTGACAAAATTGTGCATCTCTGATGTCGATTATTCTGTGTAGTCGTCTACCGTAGTTGCTAGTGGGGATATGGAGGAACCAGAAAGAATAACTCAAGATGAAGCGTTGAAGCAAGCACTCGAAATCTTCGAGGGAATGTCTCCGGAAGAAATGGAGGAGACAATATTGGAGATGATGCAACTGGTCGGTAATGATGATCCAGAGACCAAGGCAGAATTGGAACTCCTGCTGAACGAATTGATCCCCCAGATCAAATCACAATCAAATCTAGATCAAATGGTACAAGATGACGAACTAGCAGTGGCAACCCAAGACGCTTTGAGAATGTTGAAGGGTTCCAACTGGGATGAGATCTGGGCGAAGCAAGATATCATCTTGGAAGGCGTGTTAGCTTCTGGTCAACTCACTCCAGAGAGCGCTGCACTTTATAGAAGTGATGAAGAGGCATGGAAAGAAGAACTGAAATTTATTTGGGATCAACTTCAAAAGCAGGCAGCCGAGGCAGAGCTGTGAAGCACGTTTAGTCTATCTAGACGGGCGAGTTCTAGATATTCGGTGGTAAAAATGCATACTGTGACATTGTATCGATCAGAGAAAGGATCGGCTCGAACCAAACCTGGGCACATGGTGATGTTGGGGGATGTTCCAACCAGAACGATCTTCGACTGTCCACTGGTGGTAGCAAATTGAATCTGCAATGCATTAGAAACAGCTATATGCAGCAAGTGGAAGATCGATTTGTTAGCTCACGTCTCACTGTGGTCAGTGTCTGTCGAGTAATGATCTGTCGAGTAATGATTTTTAAAATGAGTGTTGTGGTTTTTTCTCTTCCGCTGGAACAGAAGTAGTCTCCAAATACGGTCGAAGGACAAATAAGCGAAGAAATTGAGGCCGCACCGAAGAATTAAAAATTTGATTTCATTCATTGAAGGTGAATGGTTGGATTGTGTAACAATGTTTAGCTGCTTTTTAGCTGTCACAATGCTGCGATTACTTATTTCAAGTCGCTCTGCTTGTGCCCTACAATGTACTAGTTCGAGTGTTTATGTACCAGGAGCGCTCCTTCAGGTTCGAAAACAACAAAGTAAGAGCCATCAGCACCAAAATCGTCAGACACATCACGTTGCATCATCCACCAGGACTAGAAGTTGTCTGTACATGGCAGACAGAAGAGCTGGCTTCACCACCGAGGATCTTGATTCCAGTTTCGGCGACCGACGTATTGTAGCATTGGATGGATATGAAGATGATGCGGAAAGTATGGCAATGAACTACGTCCCAGATTACAATGGCGAATTCGATCCCGACAGTGGGAACTCCAGTGGCGACAGAGATGCACCAACAAAGCCAAAGATTGTTCCCAGTGATGTTTCACCAAAATCGACCGAGCCAGAAAGTCAAAGGGTGCCTCTGCCGGCTTCACCAGTATTCGAAACTACAAACGCCAAGCCTGAACCCTTTCGACAGGAACAAAAACGGGGCCTATCCCCTTCTTGGCCTGGCCAATCTTCTGGACCTTCCGACAGCCGAATAGAGGATGACGATGATGATGGAGAACCTATTTGCCCATTGAGTATGTTTTCGTCGATTGCCCCAGCAAACACCCAACCAGCAAAGAAACAAAAACAACAGAAACCAGCTTGGGACACTCCACCAAGACCAGATTTGCAGCAGTCTCAGAGACCGCCACCTTCTACTTTAGAGCCTCCGCCACAACCGATAGTGTCCACAAAGGTGGAAGAGAAACCAAAGCCAAGAATGGCACAAAAACCAAGCAATACACCTGATGCACCACCTGGCCGATGGGCCCCAGACGTATCTATAGCAGACTTTAGAGCAAAATATGCGTTTGTCGAGAATGACGAGTATTCTTTTGGCGGCAGAGGAAGCGAAAAAGATGCCAAAGGAAGCAAGCCTTCAAGAATTAATTTCGGTGGCAAGACTCCTCCATCCACGCAGACGACTTCATCTCAGGCAAGGCCATTCCCAAACGAAATGTCAAGCAGTCGAGAAGAGGACGAAATTTTGGAGTGCACATTACAAATGACTAAATTGGAAGAGGAAATCTATACAATGAATGGTTCCAAGTTCAATTTGAAGTCCTACAAGCAACTCGCACAAGCCCTATTTGGAGACTCCAGTCAATCGACATCGAAGGATGCCTTGGAGGTAATTGCAGGCGGCAACATCATGGCAAAACTGGTATTGGATTATCGCCAAGCTGCGCAGAGAGCAGCAAAACTGGAGAAAAGGAAGGTGAATAGGGTGACACGCGTCAAGAGCGTCGTCGGAGATGCCACTCCAACCCAGACTTCGAGTCATGACGATACGGGTGACGAATCTCCCGCCAACGGGAATCGGTTATTGTTGCTGGATACTTCTTCCTTCATCTTTCGCGCTTACTATTCCATGCCACCGTTGCATCGGTCAACGGATGGAACGCCAGTCGGAGCTGTCCTTGGATTCTGCAACATGCTGAATCGTTTGCTTCTCAACAGTATGCTCGAGGGTAAGCGACCCTACTTGGTCCTTTGCAAGGATGCCAGTGGACCGACATTCCGAAACGAACTGTACGATCAATACAAAGCCAACCGAGCGGAAGCACCCATGGACTTGATACCACAGTTCGACTTAATCTATGAAGCAGCCGAGGCCTACGGTCTGGCCCAGATTTCAGCACCAGGCTATGAGGCCGACGATGTCATTGCGACGCTGTGCAAACAGGCTACCGAACAAAACATGGGAGTAGATATCTTGAGCGGAGACAAAGATCTTATGCAGCTAATCACAAACTCGACAACGGATGGAGGATCGGTCACAATGATCGATCCAATTACTATGAACCGAATTACTCATGATACGGTGCTTGAGAAATGGGGTGTTCCCGCACACAAATTGGGGGACTTGTTGGCACTGGCTGGTGACTCGGCGGACAATATTCCTGGTGTGCCAGGGGTCGGGCCAAAAATTGCTGCTCAGCTAATTCAAGAATATGGTTCACTAGAAGGCCTATTTGAAAATAGCGACCAGATCAAGCAACAGAAGCGACGAGAGAAGCTGCAAGAGAACGAAGATATGGCCCGACTCTCAAGGGATCTTGTTACGCTAGTTGCAAACGTTCCAGCAGACAGAATGGTTTGCATTCCCGAGCAAGCTTCGTCATTGAATATCGAAGAATTTCAAATGGAGCCAATGAATGCTGACAGAATCTTGGAATTTTATGATTCAATGCGATTCTTCACCATCAAGCAACGATTGCTACAGAGATTAGAGCAGCAAGAAAGGGTGGCATATGCAAAGAAGCAGCACCCGCAGAAGGAGAAACGGAAAACGTTCTCCAAAAAGCCAAGGAAAGTCGAACCTCCGAAACCAGAAGACTACCAGGGTGTCCCATTCTAATCGGTTCTATAATCCATTAGATTGTAACCATTCGTAGATCGTATCAGCACCATTTTGCCAGCATTCTCCAATCATGACATCATGAGGAGACTCCACCATTGTAGTTTTGACTCCAAAGTATTTCGCCGTCTCGTCCACACCTTCACGGTCGACCAAAAAGTCTCGAGTTGCTCCCACTACTAGACATGGAGGGAGCTGATCCACAAACGGAGCTCGACATTCTTTGTCCCAGAGCTTTGAGGGCACGTTCTTGACAAAATCAGAAACATCAATGGTAGCTTCTGTGTCTCGTTGGAAATAGGTTTGGAACCGAGCAATGTCATCATCTGATACACCATAGTCATTCACTACCTTAGCCTCGACACTTCCATCACTCTTAAGTTCTTGAACTATTTGCTTTGGTCCACCAAAGAACAAATCTCGGCATAATTCAGCATTTTCGACGCATCGTTTCAGCGCAAATCCAGCAGTAATTTTCCAAGATTGGACAAGAGACCGACTCAGGAATCGTATCGTCATGGGTCCATTTCCACTGGGAGGAACGGAACACAGAGTGATAGCACCAGAAAGATTGCTTAATTCGGAAGGATACTTTTCCATGTACTTCATGACTACAGCACCGCCAAAGGAATGGGATATCAGTACTGGTTTTGTTTCTGCGTTCGAGGAGGAGAAATCTGACGGATTTATGGCATCCATAATTTGCAGCAAAAATGGAGACAAATTGCCGCTGCCTTTAGCTTTCTTTGTCGCTAATAGTGAATCAACTTGACCGAGGAAAGCCTGGATATCAGTTGCATGTTCGTCAATCTTGACTTTCTTGACTCCTTCGCCCGCAAAGGTTCCTCCTGTGCCCCTCAGCGATAGTGCCACCACAGGGTAACCACGCTCTACAAAGTAGTCCATCCAGTTTTCACGCCAGCACCACGCTGAGTGAAAGCTTCCGTGAATAAATAAAAGTGGCGGCTTTTTCTTGTTCACCGACGGGAGTCGAGATATGACTTGTGCCGATACACCTGATGAAAGATCCAATTGGTCAACATTGTAAGCATTCGACAAGGAGACTTTTGTCAGGCTACGTCCTGGTGGCGCATTCAAGTTTATAAATGCTTGGCATTTGATGATTGCGAGGAAGGGAAGTATTAGTAGAACCCGTACCGGTATGGCTTTCATGTCGACAAACTTACAGTAGAGTACTTTCAAAAGATCGTATACTGGTACCAGGTACTACGCTACCGGTAATACTCGTATAAACTGCAGAGATATTGCGAAAAATCCATCTCGGGTGAAAGGCAGACGTACTGTACTGCACGGTACTATATATA